ACTTTAATTTATAGTTTAGAGCAAATAAACTATCCTTAAACTGTGAAAAACTAACTACATCTTATTTCATAAAACAGATCAATCAATGTCTCTACCGTTAAAAATTCCAGAATTGCTCATTAACAACAAAACGATAAAATGGGAAAAATATGCAAAGTTTCTTGATGTTCAAATTGATGAAAATTTATCATGGAGAAATCATATTTTACACATAGAATCAAAAATATCATCTGCAATACGTATTTTATATAAATTTCGCCCGTTTCTTGATTTCTGTTTAAGAAAATACTTTACTTTAGTCTCATTCATAGTTATCTCACATATGCTAACATAGTGTGGGCAAATACACACAAAATAAAATTAATCAAACTACAAGGCTTGCAAAACCATGCTAGCAAAGCAGTTCATTATCTAGGTAGAATGGACAATCCTTCCAATGCGATGACAAACATGAAAGTCTTAAACTTGGAAAAACTTAATTTTTATCAGATTCTTATTTTTATGTTGAAATATAAAAATAATATGATACTAAATTCTTTTTCATGTCATCATTTTTTCAAAGTTAATATATATATATATATATATATATATATATATATATATATATATATATATATATATATATATATATATATATATATATATATATATATATATATATATATTTATATATAATGGACATAGCACGTGTCTTTAAACTGCCAGTATAGTGGTGTTTTTCTACTTCATAAGTAATTCACAAATTTTTTATTGTATTAAGTATTTAATATAAATTTCTAATTTCTGAATAAACAAAATCAAATTCAAAGTTGCACCAACAAGTAAGCTGTTTTTTATTTTGGTGTTCAAAAGCCCAACGTTTCGAAAGGCTGTAATAACGAATAAGTAACTTCATATCTCGAATGCTTTTATCTGTAAGTGCGTTTATATTTTTTAATATCCAAGTTTTTTATGAAATAAAAAGTTAGGATATGAAAGTTACATTAAAGTACAATGGTACAAGTTGTAACAAGTTAATAATGAGCAGGCTCCAAACTTGTACTACAAAAGTTAAATGCTTTTTTTTAAATAATTTTAAAATATTTTTCTTACAATCGCTGTGGTTACATAGAAATTACAAACTAATGTAAATATTTGCATAACTTTAAAAATTTGAACGCAAATTTGTCTTTATGACTGATAATACTATCAATTTGCACCAAAATAATAGTAATGTTTCAACCATTCAAAATGTTAGTAATGAACATAAAATAGTCAATTATCTATTCTTAAATCTTGTTTTTTTATCTTAAAAAATAATATTTTTTAAAGTATTGTGAATGAAACAGTCAAATTGCTACCAAGATAAATGGCATTGAAATCATCAATCTATTAATTTGCCTTCCTAGTAGTGCAAAATAGTGATTTTTATGTAGATGTTACAACACGAGTTAAAGAAATTATATTGTTGTTAATCTATTTAAAGCAGTTTAACCAAATTTTATCATTCATATCAGATTGCAATAAACTGTAAACTAAAATTTCTTTGTAACTCATATTTCAAATAATTCAAAAATAAAACTTCACAAGAGTTTTTAAATTTTACGTAACATTTTGTTGTTGTTTTGTGACGTATAACAATCAGAGAGTTCGCCAATACAGTATAATGTTGTGGTAACAATACTAGATTGCAATTCTAATAGCAACCTACATATTCTGGGAGGAAAGTATTATAAATAAGTTAATTTATTAAATAACTAGCATATTATACATTTTACTTTAATAAAAATAAAGGTTTTGATTCCTACCTTAGTTGTTTCCATAAACATCTTCTTCTTCTGTTGAGTCATCTGTTGATTCTGTTCAACATTCTGTTGATTCTGTTCAACATTCTGTTGAGGTTTTGTTCAACATTCTGTTGAACATTCTGTTGAGGTTTTGTTCAACATTCTGTTCAACATTCTGTTGAGGTTCAACATTCTGTTGAGGTTCAACATCTGTTGATTCTGTTCAACATTCTGTTGAGGTTTTGATTCCTACCTTAGTTGTTTCCATAAACATCATCTTCTTCTGTTGAGTCTTATCTCTTGCAAAGTTCACCAGACCTACTTGCTCTTTGTGAGACTAATTTGAGTTCGGCTGTCCCATCTTGTGATCTTAATGTTGATGGTTATCTTCCTTTAATTCGTAAAGACTCCAAAAATCACATGCTTGGCCTGGGCATCTACATTCGTAAGAACTCACCCATTTGTCGTGATACTAGGTTTGAATCTACAGACTATTCATTTATGTGCTTTCGTTTAGCACAACTTCACTCTACCGCCTTTCTCTTTGTTCTATATCGCTCTCCTTCATCCCAAGATTGCACTATTCTTGATGTTATTTCTGATCAAATTGACCAAGCCCTCTCTCTTTATCCATCGGCCAATATCGTCGTTGTTGGTGACTTTAATGCCCATCACACCGATTGGCTTGGCTCTAGTGTCAGTGACTCTGCTGGCGTTAAGGCCCTCAACTTTTGCCTTTCTCAATCTCTAACTCAAATAGTCAACTTTCCAACTCGTTTTCCAGACAACCCTAATCATTTACCTTCTCTACTCGACTTATGTCTTGTTTTGGATCCTAGTCAGTGCTCAATTTCTCCACATTCACCCTTAGGAACTTCTGATCACGGTTTGATCTCTCTAAAACTATTATCAAATTCTTCTACTTTATCAGAATCCCCCTATCATCGTACCACATACAACTACCTTAAAGCTGACTGGGACTCTTTCCGTGATTTTCTTCGTGATGGCCCTTGGGTAGAAATCTTTCGTCTTCCTGCTGACAAATGTGCTTCTTACATAACTTCGTGGATTCAGGCTGGCATGGAATCTTTTATTCCCTCTCGACGATTCCAGGTCAAGCCTCACTCTTCTCCTTGGTTTTCCTCACATTGCGCTGCAGCAATTTCTAATCGAAACCGTTACTTCCATATCTATCAGCAAAACAATTCTCCAGAAAACAGACATCTGTTCACTATCGCCAGAAATCATTGTAAAATGGTTTTGTCTGACGCCAAAGCTCGCTATTCCCAGGTCATTAAATCTCGTATCTCATCACAAAAATTAGGCTCTCGAGACTTCTGGAGAATCTTTAACAGTATCAATAATAAGGGCAAATCTGTTATTCCTTCTCTCTTGTATGGTTCAGACTTTGTCACCTCACCTAAAGACAAAGCTGAATTGTTTGCTAAGAACTTTTCATCAATATCATCTCTTGATTCCACTAGTTGCGTTTTACCTGACATAGCCGTCAAACAGGTTGATCCCTTGCTTGACATTCGCATCACTTCAGCTTCTGTATCTAAAGTAATTTCCTGCTTAGACTCTTCAACAGCTTGTGGTCCTGACAACATTCCTGTTGTAGTCTTGCAGAGGTGTTCTCCGGAGCTTTCATCCATACTTTCTAAACTATTTAACAAGTGCTTATCAGAGTCTTGTTTTCCATCATGCTGGAAAGCAGCATCTGTTATCCCTATTTTCAAAAATTCCGGAGAGCGATCTGATTCATCTAACTACCGTCCCATTAGTCTTCTTCCTGTCATAAGCAAGGTTTTTGAATCTTTAATCAACAAACACTTAATCTCTCATCTTGAATCAAATAACTTACTTTCTGATCATCAATATGGATTTCGGTCTTCTCATTCTACAGCTGATGTGCTAACAGTTATAACCGATAGGTTTTACCGTGCATTAGATAGAGGTGGAGAGGTTAAGGCTATCGCACTTGACATTTCTAAAGCTTTTGATAAAGTTTGGCATGCTGGTCTTCTCCATAAGCTTTCTTCTTATGGTGTAGCTGGTAACGTCTTTAAGATTATTGAGTCCTTTCTTTCCAATCGTAGTATAAAAGTTGTCCTCGATGGACAACACTCTTCTTCACATCCTGTAACTTCAGGGGTTCCTCAAGGTTCAATCCTTGGCCCTATACTCTTTTTAATTTACATTAACGATCTTCCAGATATTCTCACATCTAAGGTGGCATTATTCGCTGACGACACTACCATTTACTCTTGTCATGATAAGAAGCCTACACTCTCTGATTGCTTGGAGGGGGTATCTGAGCTTGAAAAGGATCTCACTTCTGCTACAGCATGGGGCTCACAGTGGCTGGTGAACTTTAATTCAGATAAAACTCAATTTTATTCGGCCAATCGTTATCGTAATAATTTAGATCTTCCTATATTTATGAATGGTAATGTACTAGATGAGTCATCTACCATTCATCTTCTAGGATTAACTCTTACTTCTGATCTTTCTTTTAAACCGTATATCAAATCCATTGCAAAATTAGCATCTGCTAAGGTTGCATCTGTTTATCGAGCTCGACACTTCCTTACTCCAGATTCTATTCTCTATCTCTATAAATCTCAAATCCGTCCCTGTATGGAATACTGTTGCCACATCTTAGGCGGATCTTCTAATGATGCTCTTTCTCTATTAGACAAGGTGCAAAAACGAATTGTAAACATAGTTGGACCTGCTCTGGCAGCCAATCTCCAACCTTTGTCACATCGTCGTAATGTTGCTTCTCTTTCTCTTTTCTACAAATACTATAATGGGCACTGCTCTAAAGAGCTAGCGTCCCTTGTGCCATCTACTAAAATTCATTATCGTGTTACTCGCCATTCAATTAAGTCTCATCCTTTTTCTGTGACTGTTCCTAAGTGCTTCAAAAACTCTTATTCTTCTAGTTTTTTTCCTCGAACATCAGTTCTTTGGAATTCGCTTCCTTCATCTTGCTTTCCTGATTCATATAATTTGCAATCTTTTAAGTCATCAGTCAATCGTTATCTTGCTCTACAGATTTAGTCTTTTCTCTTCCAGTAACCTCCAACTCTAATAGTGGTTGCTTGCAGCCTTGTTGGAAGTGAAGATGTTAAAAAAAAAAAAAAAAAAAAAAAAAAAATCATTTTGATCAGCATTTTTATTTGCGAATATGTTGAGGTACTGTTGAAGCCCCCTTCTAAATTTTTCTTTTCATAAATAACTATGAAGCATTTGGACTATGCACGAACCTTTGTTATATGTTATTGTATCAAAAATTTCTCGAATTTCATTAGAATTTGTTACCTTTGTTGAAATTGGGTGCGAAGTCAAAAAAGAATCTAATTTAAAAGCCGGTATCATTAGGTCAGTAAAAGCTTTTTTCATAGATTCCATATTTGGTTTAAGTTGATCAGATCCATAATAACTCATGTAACTAGCAAAACCTAAAGAGGAAATAAATAAAAAGAATAAAAACTAACAAACCCTAAAAAAGAAGAACACAATTCTTTTGGCAAAACCAAAAGAGGAAATAAAGAATAAGAATAGAATCTAGCAAACCCTAAGTAGGAAGAATAGAAATCTTTTAATTGAACATAATTTGATTTAAAATTACTATTGTTTTTATTAAAAAAGTATTTTTACCTTCTTTTATTAAAAAAGTATTTTTACCTTCTTTTAACCAAGTATCAGTCCAAAACTTCATCGTTGCTAGGTTACCAAACCATTGATGCACTAATTCATGAGCAATAATTAAAAAAGTTGCTTGCTTATCTATTTCTGTTGATAATTCATTATTTATTAACATTTTGTCAAATCTATAGGTTATTAGACCCCAATTTTCCATTGCTCCTGGTCCAAAGTTTGGTATGGCAACAATATCAAGTTTTTTTAATAAAAATGGTATTTTAAAGTAATCTTCAAAATACTTTAGAAGCATTACTGTTGCATTTAATGTATACTCTGTATCAGCAAGTTGGTTGTAAGGCACCCAAGCTTTTATAACTAATCCATTATCAGTTATTAACTTGATGTGTTTATAATTAGAAACTACCCAGCAAAGAGTATATGTTGACATTATTGGCGTTGTTTGAAACAAAGTGGATATTTTCGTTCCATTTTTCTTGCTTATTAGTTTAGGCATATTTGAAATAGCATAATACTTTTCATTATGAGTAAGAGACAATGAAAATGTTGCTTTAAACTTTGGCTCATCAATACACGGAAAAGCTTTTCGTGCACTTATAGGTGAGAAAAATGTTGATGCAATATTGTGTGTAATATTATTTTCCGTATAACTACTTTTATAAAATCCATTAAGATCTGAACGCAATGTTCCGTTAAAATCAATAAAAATTACGTACGACATATTAGCTAAGAGCATTGAAGCAACTTTTATTACGTAATATTCATTGGCAAAATAGTTAAAGTGACTTTCAATCTGAATTTGATTGTCTTCAAGGTTTTTCAACAACACATTATTAATTTGGAGATCCACTTGATGAACTAAAATTACATTTGTTGATTTAGTTACGTTAACGTAAATGCTTACCTTGCCATCGAAGAAGTCTTTTTCCATATTTACTTCAATAGCCAGAAAGTAACTATAGGGAAAGATACCATCAGTTAATATCATTTCTTCCCAGGGTTGTGTATTTTTTTTTTTCACTTTCTTTTATTGTAATATTACAGTAAAGAGGTAAACTAGTCACAGCTTCTAACAGTAATAAAATAAAACTGATAAAAAATACTCTTCTTTTAGATTTTGAAGTAATGCAAAATAAATTTAATACATTCATTTCTCCTAAGATATGTTATAAAATCTTGGAAAATGTTACCATACAAGTGTAATATACTTTTTAATGTTTTTAATTCTTTTGATAACTTGTGTCTCTCTAACAGCCTTCGACTAATTTAAATATAAATTTCGTTTTTTTTCAAACCCGGTGTGTTTTTATATTTAATGCCACAGAAATTGCGTAATGATAAAACCTTTAAAATTAAAACTAATAATTCGCAGTTACTCTTACAAAGTATACCGACCTAAATTACAATGAGTCTTAAACAAACTGTTACGATAACATTTTTTAACGATCTTCAAAATAAACACAACGTCATTTAAGTATATTTATAAATATTTTATTTATATAATTTAAACATTTTTATTTTAAAAAAAATATGATTATTAGTCAAACTTTAAGTTAGAAATTGTAAAATTCTAAAGCAATTACAAATTATAAAGTCTAAAAAATATCATTTATCTTCAAGAAGATGTCTTTGTAGTTTACCATTTCTTCAGATTTCTTATTTGAATTCAAACCCAAAGTAACAAATATACATTTAGCAGCTTTAAAAAACAATATTAAAAAACGAAATAAAGTTTTTTATTTCGTTAAGTTTTTCGTTTGAATAAAATTTTAGACCTCTTTGCAATGATTCAATATTTTATTTTGATAAAATTATTTGCCATAAAATTGTTCTTAATTTTGAAAAACAAATCTTGCAATTAAATACTATTATAACTTTTATATTTTGATTTAAATTGATTTGTATTTCTAACTTGGTATAGTCTTTAAAGAGCTTTATTTACCTTCTTTTTCATTTTTTTTTTTGAGTATTGTTATGTAACTTAGGTTTTTATTTGTATATTGCAAATACATCATTTTATAAAAAATTTGGAAAATATATTTTGAAAACTAAATTAAAATGTTAGCTAAATATTAGTTAAAAATTTAGCTTACATTTTAAATTTGTTTTCAAAGTTAAAATGTAACCTAATTAGCTGTTACAAAAGTTTAAACAACATTTTAATTGTAGTAGTTGAGTATATATATATATATATATATATATATATATATATATATATATATATATATATATATATATATATATATATATATATATATATATATATATATATATATATATATATATATATATATATATATATATACATATATATATATATATATATATATATATATATATATATATATATATATATATATATATATATATATATATATATAATAATATATATATTAGCAAATTGATATACAGTTGTGTTATCAGCAAACTCACTTTAGGTGTAAGATCACTAATTATTGTTTAAGATTTCTTTCAAGTCATTGTTGATTTCAACCGTCACAGCTATTGTTTTTATTGTTAATCATTTAAAACTTTTATATAATAATTTATTTTTTCATTATGATTAAGTTTGACATGATTATTTGTTATACATAATTCACATCAATATAAATTTAGAACTTTTCAAAAAATTTAGTTTTCATGGTAATCACAGTTAAGGGTTGTATTATCTTTAGTTTGCATAATTAATTTTTTATACATTGTTTATATATTATTTATATGTTACATATATATTATATATGTATTATTTATATATTATTTATATATTATTTATATATTATTTATAAATTATTTATATATTATTTATATATTATTTATATATAATTTATACATTATTTATATACTATTTATATATTATTTATATATTATTTATATATTATTTATATATTATTTATATGTTATTTATATGTCGTTTAGTTTGCATATTTAATAATTAATAATTTTTTCAGTTAAAAAGGGAGGGGATAAAACCCTCTTTCCTCTCCCCATTGAAGGTAATTATCAAGTTTAGTCGGTTTATTGAGGAACATAGTAGGCTAGTTGGGTATTTGACACATTTTAGTCGTTAATTTTAAGATATTTACCTCCACCTCCATTCTCATTGAAATATTTCAATACATACATATATATATATATATATATATATATATATATATATATATATATATATATATATATATATATATATATATATATATATATATATATATATATATATATATATATATATATATATATATATATATATATATATATATATATATATATATATATATATATATATATATATATATATATATATATATATATATATATATATATATATATATATATATATATAATATTTTGGACAAATTAGCACTGAAAAATATAATACATAATATTTCGGACAATTAGCACCGAAAATTAAAAACCAATTTTGATTTTAAATAGATTTTTTATCATTTTACTGCTTCTATGTCCTCAAATATAAAGTTTAGAGGTTCAATATCTTCTTTTGCATTTTCTAAAAAGATTGGTAACAAAGCAGCAGTCTTAATAAGCTCTAAAAAAAATAATTTAATTAGATAGTAATTTTATTATTCGTACAATTTTATATTTTTTTAAACATATTTTCTAAATTTTTACTGAAACATATATTAACAAATAAAAGCAACAAAAACTTATTAAACAGTTTTAATAAAAAATAAAATCTTTAAATACTATACTAAAGTAAAAGTAGTTATTCAGATCATAAACAAAAACATTGATAAATTTTTCTATCTCTTAAAAGCTTGGAACTTTGACACTATTAAAAAAAAAATTAATATGCTCTCGGGTTACAAAAGTAAAGCTTAGTGGATTATAACTTTAAACAAATTCAAGATAAGACCCCTCTCATCTTTAGAGTCTCAAAATATATTATGTTGAGTACTAATAACAACGGTCCTCATAAATTAATAACGATGATAACAGCTCATGTTTTTGTATGATCCATAAGCCTAGCAGAAGACAGACTTCACCTCCAGTAAAAAGTTGTTTTTAATTAAATGAAATCGGTATCATTACAATCGTAGATCGTTTTTAGTGTATATCGTTCCTAATTAACAAATAAAACTACTAATATATTAATGAAAGTTTGAAATAAATTAATAAATGTATCTTTGTATTTATTATGGTAAAATCTATAAATGTCTTGTTTATGAACTTTACCATAACACAGTTTTTTTATTTGTGGTAAGAATACAAACTTTGACTTTTAAGAAACCATAGGTTTACTCAGAAAAATGTTTTTATAAATTTTATTTGCAATTGATACCTGCTATTGCTGGGATGACGTAAGTTCTAATTGGAATCTTTATTTTTTAGGTTTTAATTAGCTTTACTAAAGCAAAATATGCAAGGTTGTGCAAAACATAGACGTATGGATTTTTCGTCGTTTTTACTTTAGTACGCCTTATCTATTTAAAAGGAAATAAATTAAATTGATTTAGTTTTAAAAAAGATTAAGCAACTCGTTCCAAAAAATAATGTAAAAATTTAAAAGCAAAAATAAATTTATAAAACATGCAATCAACTGTTTTTTTATTTGGGTTTTCATTTCATTTCAATTCTACAAAAAAAATTTCAACTCGATCATTATTATTTTTAATTTATCACTTTGCAGAAGGTAAATATATGATTGATATGTCTTAACATTTTGCTTTAAATTCAACATTTTCAACATTTGCTTTGAATTTTATAAGCTTTTCTTCATTGCCAGAAACAGCAATCTTTCAAACTCGATTATCTTCAAAACTTCCAGATCTGACTATCTGATTCATTTGCTTAATTTAATCTTTTTTTTTTCTTGATCGCCAAAAGTGACTCATTTTTTAAATCCTAAAATAATAACTTTCCAGTTATTATTTTAGGATTTAAAAAATGAGAAACTTGAACTTGTGTCAATATCTTTTCTAAACTTTTTTTTACATGGGAAACTTATGTAACCATGAGTTAATGCATAGCTATCTAAAACACAGGCCTATTACTTAAATACTGCAGGCCGATTAGTAAAAAAAAATTTTTTTTCAATATTTATTTCGCCTTCTACAATAAATACAATTATCATGTATATACAACAAAATAAGTAATGACTGGAGCAAGAAGAAGAAATAGTTCTGTCTTATCACCGAACCCTATTTTTAAAAAATCGTGATATATAAATATTATATTATATTGGCGTAGTTGTTAAAATGCATACATTATCTGCAGTTGCAAAAAGAAAAAAGTGCAGCTACAGTTGCAAAAAAAAAACAAAATAAATATAGATTTTTTTAAGTTATGATTTTTAATTAAAGCTTTACTTTATTTAAAAAAAAAAAAAAAAAAAACATTTAAAACCTAACATAGTAAGATCCATAAATAAGAACAACCGTTTAGATTCTTTTTATATCGATCAAGAGTGGTTTTCTTTTTATTTGTAATATCTGAAAATAAATCACATAAATACGGCTCCCGATACTTAATTGAGTATGAACTCAATTTTAGACTACATTTTGGGACAGCAAAGTTATATTTTGAGAGTCTTGTGTCATTTTTATGACAGATTTCACTAAAATAGGATTCAAATGTTTTTGGCAACATTCCTAGCTTACTTCTATACATGAAAGCTAAAATTTCATGTAAATTTATTTTATAAATATTTAAAGCTCCAAGTAAACACAATAAAGGCTCACAGGGTTCTTATCTATTTGCTCCAAAAATAATTTGAAATGCATGTTTTTGTTTGCTCTAAAGTTTTTTAATTTTGTATGATTGGTACTTGCCCAGGCAATATAACAGTATGTTAGGTAACTTTGGATAAAAGTAAAATATAAACCATTAGTGATTTCAAATAAAAAAATGGTTTAGCTCTATAAATCATTCCTATATTTCTAGAAATTTTTTTTTCAAGGCTGTTTATATGAAAATTCCATCTTAAATTTTCATCCAATTCAACGCCTAAAAAGTTTCCGATGATTCTCTTTT